GATGTGTGATGTGGAAATAGAAGCGAACCAGTTCCAAAAACTTTCTTCCCCCACAAACAGAACACATTCCAGCATCCATCAGATTACCAAAAAAAACTTCCAACATGGTGGAACCGAGTTGAGAGGAAAAGAAACTTACTGGAGTTTCCTGGTGATATGTACCTCAAAGAAATTTAAACTCAAGCTTTTAGCAACGGCATGCTCTTAAAATGTTAGCCAAATGTATAAACTGAAAGACCTGTCTGTATACACGAAATTTTGCTAAAATTAAAGAAAGATTCCGAATGTATAATTCCTTGGAAACACCTTTCAAACCATAGCCGAAGTACGGTATGGCTCCAATAGCATTTGCAGCAGTTATTGCTTTCTTCAACGTACGGGGCTTCCTGGCACATATGTTTAGGCTCATAATATAGCAAGCAAAAAGCCCAATAACATAATGTTCCTTTTTTTTTCTTTTTTTTTTTTTCTTTTTTTTTATAATGTTCCTTTTCAACATACAGATTTGATATTATGCAACCAAGTAAATTTGTATAAACATCTATTTTCAGGGCTGTTTATTTTCTTTGCATTTAGTAATCATGTCAACTTATCAGTCTAATAATTTGTTCATATATAGTGATATAATTCGATAAAAAAAGTATACGCTAAGGTATCCAAATACCAATACAATATGTCTTACACGGTTCCAGTCTATATCAGGCACACAAAAGTATAACTTTCAGTACAATGTGAACAGTATACGACACACGTTGTATTTCATAATATTTAAAGATTACCGGCGAAGACCAATACCTTGGGTTCGTCCGTCCAAAGAAGTGATACTCACACTTTAGAGACGAAGAAAACAGAGAGATAATTAGTTCTCTAATCAGATTAAATAATGGAGAAATAATTAGTCTCTAGTCAGACTAAATAATAGGAAAACTATGTCTCGAATAAGAATTAAATAATAGAAGCGTATCTCATCAATATTTTTCAAAATCAACGAGATAGGTGGAACCAGCCGGCCTACATCCTGAACCGCCCTGTTGGAAGCCGGCGTCGACTTGCTTCACCGTTGGGATGTTGCCACGTGCATCATGTCTTACGTAACAGACATCTGACACCATTCCATGGAACATGCTAAATGTATTTAAAATAGTTTACTACAAGTCGCTATTACTACCTAAAAAATTTGAAACCTCATGAGATGAGACACTCATATACGAAAGACCTATTTTATAAAAAAGTACCGAAGAAGTTATGAGGTAGGTGCAAAAGTCACGCGTACGCGCCGAGAGAAAGAAGTAGAAACCATCGATAACGTAATAATTGAGATTATAATGATTCGTGAAATTGGTCTTTTTTGTAACAAATGGGTCTAATTTTTTTTTTTTTGTTAAGAAGTTTTCAAAAAGAGAATTTGCACCCCATATACAAACTAAACCCCTAAATTAACTATTTACCATCTTTATCTCTTATCTCTCCTCCTCTTCTCACTATTTTTTCCCCTAAAACCATAGCAAATCTCTAATATTGAGTTTTTTTGTATATTAAGCAAATTTACTCTATGTACGTGTCGACGCTACAAAAATCATGTCCCAGTGGGAACATGTATCCTCAGCTGGAGTACCATATTCGGGTCTCAAGTTTTGTGACTCAAAGTTTGGTATATGAGTGATGTGAAATGTTTCTTGGCGATCACATCATCCTGCACTGGTATGGCAGTGGCACTGTTTAGTATGTAACACTCCCCACAGATTTCATGTTTTCGAATTGTTTTGATTCGTTTGGTCTATCAAATTGTGGAATATCACGTGGGACGAGGAACATTGTGGAAGACGGAACCACAGTCATAAAAATCCTCCATTATTTAATCTTGTCCAAGATTGGATGAGTATTTAACATGATATTTCGTTGTCTTACCAGTTTTATTATATGAGAAATCCATTGACTTCTTTGTTCATTGGATGATTTTATTTTCTCATACAAGACTTATTCATACAGTCTACATATTTTTATGGTAGTTCATTTTTTTTTTAAAACGCTTGATTTATACACTTTTAGATTAATTTCAAAAACTATTATATTTTATTAATACGTCTGAGCTTTCAAGCTTCCCTAGATTTGTCACCCAAAAGTTACGATGACGTTTACGTTTGATATGCTCGTTTCTACATTTGAAAGTTGTCGACGTAAACTGTTTCTTATTTAAACGAACGAACGTAAATACTAAGGGTAACTCTAATCAACTATGACACCAAAATTGATACTGAAATTATACTAAATTTAGTGTTTTGGTATTAGATCTTATTTTTCTCCAACTGTAATACCAAATTTCACAAAAATAGATATTATTTAACTTTTAAACTTTAATACTTTAATTAATAATCATTATTTTATTACATTTAAATTTTATGTTTTATGCTTTTATAAAAATATTAGTTACAATTTAAATTCTATATTAATAAAAATATAAAAGTATGTAGGTTTTTTTATTTTATTACAGTATGATATAAATGATAATTTTCATTAAATGATATTATTATAGAAAAGAAATGTTAATTAATTTTTAGTTTTAAAAAATAAAAAGCTAAATAAAAAATAAAAAGATATATTTATTTTAAATTATAATTTAAACTAAATAACTATATTTTAAAATAAAATATAAGAAAATATTGTAAATATTTAATGTAATGCATACTATTCCATGACCAAATTTGGTGGAATTATATTATTTTTTGTATGTCTAATTATTGGATTTAAAATTATACCAATTTAATATTTTGGTGTTTCTTTACAGATGGTTTTAGACCATCTCTAATTCATAGCACCATTTTAGTGTGAAACCTACACCATTTGAGTGTAAATCCAACACTACAATTTTTTTTTAACTATAACACCAAATTTCATTCTAAATATAATTTTGATTATATATTATTTAGTTACAGAATTATTATTACTTAACATATACAATAGTTTATTATGTAATTATATATTAAAATGGAGAAAGTAATATATGGAATGTACTTACATTTGATAATTAGATCTATAATTTCACTGAAATTTAAGTTTTCAGTTGTGCACTGAACATAAATATTTTGTTCTGGTCGTCAAGTAACTAAAATATAAGTAAATCCGTTGCTTGTTTACTTTCTTCTAAGGTAATCACTTTTCATAATTATACTATTATTTTTAAAGTTAGTTTTTCTTTCACTGTAAAATCTTGCAATTTTTGTGTCCATAGGATTAAAAATACATATTTTGTATATTAAAAGAGAATCATTGTAATAAACATTTTTACTGTAACTGACATTTGTTAACTTCACAAGTGTTTCAACTTTAGAATGCTGACATGTCAGTTTCACAATCATTTGATAATTAATACATTTACACACATAATTTAATGTGTTCATATATAATTTTTTAATTAATTTACTTTTAATTGCTACATTTGTAACCTTTGAATTATTGAATTAAAATTCTCTCTACACAACTAATGCATAATACCATTACTGATTTTTTTATTTTTATAAAATCATTAAGATTAGTATCAACTAAAATGGTACGATGAGAATGTTTAGCAAAACTGAAAGTTTTATAGTTAATCGAAGTTGGTCATGGTTAAGAATTTTGTACACTAAGACAACAGATCATTGTGGTTGGCTATAAATTAAGAAATCTAAAGGAAAAACCTCCACACACAAAGTCAAATATTTTGTTTATCCAAATATTATTATTTTTTTACAAAAGTTTTCATACCAGACCAAAATAAAATCAAATTGCTAGATAAAATCAGAAATTAAAAAAAAATTAACTTTTTTTCACAATATCGATTAAAAATATAATTCATGCACCAAGTAAAGAGATCAAAATGTAATATATACATATATATATATATTATTTTTATTATTTATGTATACAATTTAATTTTCATTATATGAAAAAATTATTAGTTTCTAGGTCTATTTTATTTAATTTTTTTATTATCATCTGTTATTTTGAACAAAAATGTTTTAGTGGAATTAATGGTATCTTCATATATTTATCACCATATTTATGTACTTTTACATCTATATACATGTATACATTGACGCGAACGACTATATAATTAAAATATTTATCACAAGTGAATATTATAATTCTTTTGAAAGTTAAAATATTTTTTAATGCTTCCTTTCATTATCGATCAATTTGTAAAATTGTAGTGAAATGATTTGTCTTGATAATTTTCTTTTCTTTTTCTCGTGTACTATTATTTATATTTGATTTGATTTTGTGTAATTTTATAAATTATAATAGGAATCCATTGGTTCGACATCAGAAGTGTCTAAAATTATCACGAAAAAAAAACAACATCAAGTATTTTAATCAAACTAAAATAAATATAGATTTAAAATAATAGTTATATTTTAGGAGATGAAAAAAAATTTAAAATCAAACTAATATCCAAACTAAAATAATTTAATACCTTCTTTATGTTAAAAATAACAAAATTAATAATCTCATTATGCACAATGCACGGATTATTACCTAATACAATGACTATAACTTAAGTTTTTTTTTTCCGTCAAAGTTTTGATATTCATTCTAAAGTAGAAAATAATTCTTGAAAAAAGACTATAACTTGAGCTCTAAACTCCTGTTTTAGACATTATCATATAGATCTTTTCCCCCTTTATTATTCTAAGAACTAATCCTTTTAAAAACACGTGGAAGCACTGTGGCCTAGTGGTCAAAGGTTTAAAGACTTCTACACCAGGTCTGGGGTTCGAACCCCAGCCTATGCAATTTCCAGGTTTCAATTCTAGGAGAAGGTGAATTATGTAGAAAATTGGAGAAAAAGGTTTAGAAGAGATCTTCAACATGGCGCAAGGAGTACCGCCATGAATGGATTTTATAGGACGGCTCAGGATGATCAGTCAGACGTGAATCCGCATATGGCAGGTAGAATTGTCGGTTGTAATATCGTCTATGTAATGTTTCACATAATTTGTAATAGCATAATTACCCAGACAAAAAAAAAAATCCTTTTAAAAACACTTACAAACCAATAACAATTTTTTTTCTCTTTTTCTTGAGCAAACAATTTTTTTTTCTCAAAAAAAAAATCCCCCACCTCTTAAACAACTAACCACTCCCTTTTAAAATTATTATTCCTAATTCCATAAAAAGTAAACACACCCAACAACCAAGAAACATCCCCAACAAAAGAAAAAAAAAAAGAAAAACACGAATTAACATACGTGTTCATACGCTTGTCCCCACCCCATCTGAAAACTACGCGCAAAATTTCGAATTCACCGACGAATATTCCTCTTCCTCCTTCTATAGATAAATCTCTCCAACCCGTCTCTGGCTTCTAAAACCATGTCAGAGATCGAAGTCGTCGCCGATGTCGGCGGCGGCAGCAACAGCAACGCCCTGTTCGGGAAATACGAGCTCGGGAAGCTCCTCGGAATCGGCGCATTCGCTAAAGTCTACCACGCACGTGACCGCCGCACGGGCCAAAGCGTCGCCGTCAAGATCCTCAACAAGAAGAAACTCCTCGCGAACCCAGCCCTCGTCAACAACATCAAGCGCGAGATCTCCATCATGAGGCGTTTGTCTCATCCCCACATCGTCAGGCTCCACGAGGTCATGGCCACGAAGGGGAAAATCTTCTTCACGATGGAGTTCGTTAAAGGAGGAGAGCTCTTCAACAAAATCTCAAAACACGGTCGTTTAAGCGAAGATCTAGCCCGACGTTATTTCCAGCAGTTAATCTCAGCCGTCGGTTATTGCCACGCGCACGGGGTTTACCATCGCGATCTTAAACCGGAGAATCTATTGATTGATGAGAACGGGAATTTAAAGGTAACCGATTTCGGTTTAAGCGCGGTGACGGATCAGATCCGACCCGACGGGTTGTTGCATACCTTGTGCGGCACGCCTGCTTACGTGGCGCCAGAGATTTTATCAAAGAAGGGATACGAAGGCGCGAAGGTTGACGTGTGGTCATGTGGCATCATCTTATTCGTTCTCGCTGCTGGTTTTTTACCGTTTAACGATCCGAATGTGATGAATATGTATAGGAAGATTTATAGAGGGGAGTATCGTTGCCCTAAGTGGATGTCTCCTGATCTGAAACGGTTCGTTTCTCGTCTTCTTGATATCAATCCGGGTACGAGGATCACCGTTGATGAGATCTTGAGAGATCCTTGGTTCGTTAAAGGAGGTGTTAAGCAGATTAAGTTTCACGATCAAGATTCAGGTTTGGTCAAGGGGAAAGGTGAGGCGGCGGTGAAGAGTCTAAACGCGTTTGATTTGATCTCGTTCTCCTCGGGGTTGGATCTCTCCGGTTTGTTCGCCGGTGGGGGTTGTTCGGTTGGGGAGGCGGAGAGGTTTGTTTCGGAGAAGTCGCCGGAGAGATTGGCGGAGGAGGTGGAGGCGTTTGTGGAGGTGGAGAAGCTGAGGGTGAAGAAGATGGAAGAGTATGGGTTTGAGATGGAGGGGCAAAATGGGAAATTTATGATTGGGGTATTTATTTCGCGGTTGAATGATTTGCTTGTGGTGGTGGAGGCGAGGCGGAGAGGTGGTGACGCTGATTGTTATAAGGAGATGTGGAATAATAAACTCAGGGTTCAGCTTGAACGTGTTTGTGATCAAACGCCAGTCGCAACTGTGGAGTTTTCTTGATGTGCTTTCAAATCAAACGCGCCCAATAGCTGCGTTTGGATTGGCTTGCGTTCTGCTACTAGAATTATTACCCAAAAAAACAAAAACAAAAGTTAAAAAATTACTTATCTATTTATATACTGTATTCAAGTATAGGTATCAATGTTTGTGCTATTTGGTATATGTATTACTACTCACTATGTAACAAGTCTAAATTGCATTTTGTAGATACCTTACTTTTTATTTATAATATATAAAACTAGATCATAACCCGCCCGACTGGGCGGGTCTTTGTTTTTATGGTATAGATAACATTTCAAAGTTACAATTTAATGGTTTCAATTTTACTAAGTAATAGTATATTGTTTAAACATTGTATTTCATTATTGTATTGTGTAACAGGGGCGTCGTAAAATGTTGTGACCCGTAAACATTTTAGTAATAGTTTATAAAGTTTTTTGACTAAATTTAGTGTAAAGTTATATACACTAAATAATTTAGTCAAATTTTTAATTTAATTTTTAATGAAGAATTGGAAGGCTAGTATATCACTGTTAAAAACTTATAAGAATAGTCAATATAAATTATATAAATAAAATATATATTATTCTTGATTTATTCTAAATACATTTAAAACATGAATACATATATGTATAAATAATTTGTAGAACTAAAGTAATATCAATGATAGAAAATCCAAAAACAATAATAATGGTACCTTGGGCCGCAATAATCTTTAATATAATAAATAAGCCCATTAAATTTGTATGCTATCCATGTTTCCAATCAAACTTTTAAAATTTTCTTATTCATGTTTCCAAACAATTTATTTTTGTACTTCAGCTTTAATAGTATAGATGTTCTTCTTATTATATTTTACACAGATACTTAACCATAATTGGTTTATTCAACAAGTCTAAATTGTATTTGTAAATACATTACTCTTTTGTAGAATATATAAAATGTTCGTCTAGTTATAGTTTGGGTTTCATTCCACTTTTACTCACATACTTAACCATAATTGGTTTATTCAACAAGTCTAAATTGCATTTGTAGATATTTTACTCTTTTGTATAATATAGAAAATGTTCTAATTATAGTTTAGATTCATTCCAATTTTACTTATATACTTAACCATAATTGTTTTTTTCAACAAGTCTAAACTGTATTGGTAGATACTTTACTTTTTTGTAATATAGAAAATGTTCTTCTAATTATAATTTCGATTCATTCCAATTTTACTTATATAGTTAACCATAATTGTTTTTTTTTCAACAAGTCTAAACTGTATTTGTAGATACTTTACTTGTTTGTAATACAGAAAATGTTCTTCTAATTATAGTTAGGATTCATTCCCATTTTACTCAGATACTTAACCATAAATGGATTATTCAACTTTTGACTTGTTGATTTTGGAATTCAGCTTTTCCCGATTTAGCTTCTGCAGTTTAGTATTACATTTTTCTATTAACGGAGTTACGGAACACAAGAAATGATTGAATGGGAGTTCCACTTCCAGTGATGCAATAAGATAAAAGGGTTTAAAAACAAAACAATGCAGCTTATTATTGTTGTTGAGATAAAAAGCTATTATTGTCCACTTGATACACTGTTTACAACTCAGAAGGAGTGGAGGTTAAGGAACCAATAAAGCATTATCATAAGCACCAACCTTTTCTCATCCATATCATCATTGTTTCAGATCTTTCTTAGAATAAACATATCTATCTATTTAAATTCATATGATCATGCCCCAACCTTAAAGTCAGTTCCTGCCCACCTCTTGGTTTAAGACGCAATAGTAAATTAGGTTTGTTTGGTATGATTTAGGAAAGTAGATATATGGAGAAATATGGCTGATGAACTTATCTTATTTTATCAAATGATTAGATCGATAAAATATGTATTAAGATCACCTAGCTATTTCCGTTTTGTACATTGTCGATTCTAAAACTTGTGGAGCTTGAAACAGTTATAAAGCTAGATGATATACATTTATTGGATAGTCATTTTTTTTTATCAAACATATATTGGATAGTCTAGGGGCCGAATAAATAATCATATATATCTGTTAAGCATTTTTTTTTCTTTTTTTTGTTTTGAACAAAATCTGTTAAGCACTTAAACCTTCAATCCAATACGAACGTTTTATCCAACTGTCCCATGACTGGCCTTGGTTTTGTTCTGTTTTCTTACACAGTTCACTGATGTAGAATGGTAAAGACTCCACAAGTGCACATTTAAAAGTTTCAGATTCTACACTTTAATAAAACTGGGCTAATGGGCCTAACTTAAAGTGGCCTACAATTAAGCCCAATACTGTTCTTTAAGGATAACGGATTTTAGACCATATCATCTCCTCCAACGGTCGAATCAACGCTGAGAGAAGAGAGAGAGAAGAGAGATGAGAGAGAAAAGGGGCAGAAGTGAAAATCAGAAAACCCTAGATCCGATCGGCGAGGATGGTGTAGTCATCGGAAAAGATGGAAAAGGGTTCTTCGCGTGCTACATCTTGACTTCACTCAGCCCTCGTCACAAGGGCCACACCTACATCGGGTACTCCCCAACTTTCTCTTCCCCGATCTGATTTCCTTTTTCCTCGAATCCAATTTATGGGTTCGATTCATTTCTCTTCTTTGTAAATAAAAATGTGTTCTTTTTAGTTCAAACGAACGTTTTTTATTAACTTCAAAATCACTTTTTTATCTTCTTTTTTTTTGTGATCAAAAATCACTTTTTTTTATCAATGCCCATAAACTGTTAAAAGTTGGTTCGGTTAAGGCTTAAGGGATTGAATAATCTGGTGTGGCAGGTTCACGGTGAACCCAAAGCGCAGGATAAGACAACACAATGGAGAGATCACAAGTGGTGCATACAGAACCAAGAAGAAACGTCCTTGGGAAATGGTCCTCTGTATCTATGGTTTCCCCACCAAAGTCTCTGCCCTTCAGGTTCCCTTTTTTTCTTTTCCACATTATCAGGTTATCCCAAAAGAAAAAAATGCTTTCTTTGTTGTTAAAGTGCATTGGGAACCTCGTTGCAGTTTGAGTGGGCTTGGCAGCATCCTAGAGAGTCACTTGCAGTGAGAGAAGCTGCTGCTGCTTTCAAATCCATCTCTGGACTTGCTAGCAATATCAAGCTTGCTTACACTATGCTTTCTCTTCCTGCTTGGAACAGGTAATGAAACACCAAGCTTCTTGTTGTTTGTCTTTTTTACTTGCGACTTAACTTATGTGTCTTGGTGGACCAGCTTGAACCTGACAGTCAACTATTTCTCATCAAAGTATGCACACCTTGGCGGTCTTTCTCCAAGTCTGCCTCCACACATGGAAGTCCATGTTTGTCCTATGGATGATCTTCCGTGTTTCAATAAAGATGACAACAACTCTCAAGAAGAAGATGAAGAGAGTAATGAAGAAGAGGATGATGATAATAGAAACCAAAACAACCAGCCTGGGAATCCAACTTCAAGCTACTTGCTTGACCGACATTGTGAGAAAGAGAAGCCAAAAGGATCAGAAACTGTACTTGATGACAGATTAGCAAATTTCACTGGTTTTGGGTTATTAGAAGAGAGTGATGAAGATGAAGTATTTAATGAAGCGATGGAGAAAGAACCTGAGACTGTCTTTAATGACAGGCTAGGAAATATCACTGGTTTTGGTGTAGAGAAGATTGTTGAAGATGAAGTATCATATAGAACTATGGAGAAAGATTGTTGGAGAAGAAGCAACTTGATCACATCGACCACTGAAGTTGAAGTGATAGATTTGATGACTCCATCACCTACATGCAGAGTTGGATCGTCTATGAAGAGGCCAAGAGTTTCTGAGTTTATAGACTTGACAAGGTCTCCTAATTTCATAGAGTTGTAAAATAAAAACAATACAAAAGTTGTGTCATGTGTGCAAATCAAAGTCAACTTTCTTGTAATTTTATTTACACAAAATAAACTTGGTGTAAGATTGAAATTGATGAGATCCAGTGTGCGTTATTAGCGTCAATGATTTAAACTATGAACTGGTTATTGGTTAAAGCATTTGGTTTAGGTTCTTAATGAGACAGAAACATCATTCATGTGCAGCCACATGCTCACTATATACATTCAGCAATCTTTTTTCTTTTGTAACCCTTATGTATTAGATTTTCTTTTAACAGTTTGACATTTTGCACATAAAGTAGCAAATATAACACGTCAATAGCTTTGACCAGAGAAAAGAAGTACTATGAAAAGGTTTTGTTTCTCCTAATTAACATACCGAATGAGTTTGCAGGCTTGGGCACATGACCATCTTCCTCCGATATTTTCCACATATTTCGAGTGTCTACTCTAATCTGGATTGCCTATTATGTAAGAAGAATCTGGATTGCCTATTATGTAAGAAGAGCGAGATAGAAGACCTGGAACTAGATAGAGATCCATATCTTTAGATCATCTAAAAGGCCAGAAATAATAAGTTGTTCAGAAGAATAACAAGAGACACACTTGAGCTAGTTAGATATGCTAAGAGTGAATGCAACACCTTACGCCTGGTTTGAAGCTAATTCACCAACAATGGAGACAATGTCACACCTAGCTCAGGGTACACAAGCCATATGTTTACAAAATATTTGCATGGTTGATGAATCATGGACTGCGGAATCACTTTTCAGTAGGTATGGATGGATATATCTAGATGGATCTGGAAACAACCAATTCATAGAGCTGTAAAACATTGAGAGACGATTGTCTTCGTTGCATTCTGAATTGGAGACTCTCATCTAGGCGGTGGAGAACATGCTTCAAATTAATGATTGCCAATATTTTTTGCAGTGATTGCAAAGAGATAAATTCTAATATTTATAAAATTTTATACATTACTTCAGATTACTCCTGATTACCAGTGTTTAGAAAATTTTATACATTATTTTATTAATTTTATAACCTATTTATAAAGCTTTATAAAAAATTTGATATTTTTATAAATTATTAATAAGGTTTAATAATGATTTTATAAGTTATTGTCTATTATTTGTTAGAATAAAATAATACATGCTTTTTGTGATATCACGAAAATATGAAGTAAATCAATAAATTTTTATAAAGAAGGAAACACATAAAATTTCCTTATATTAATAGTGCCAGATATCAAATAGTTAAGATTTCTAAATTATATAAAGTTATATGTAGTATTGAGGATAATTAATTAGGTAAAAAATTCAATCTTCTTACTTAAAGTGTATGGCAATGGCTTTTTTCTCCTATTTACACGAGAAGAAATAATGTAGGATTATTTTTCCTCCTTTTTATTTCTAAACCAATATCTTATACTCATACCATGTTAATCAATAAAAGTATATATCTTTGATTTGATTTTCTTGTTTTATTTATTTACTTCACGTTTTTGTAGTATGATGAACAATCATATCTTTAATTTATAAAATCATCATTAAGATTTATTAATAGTTTATAAAAGTATTAATATGTTTATAAAGCTTTATAAATAAGCTATAAAATTTATAAAATAATGTATAAAATTTTATAAATTATTTTAATCAATTGTAAGAGTCTTAAATAATGCATAAAGGATAATAAAGATTTTAAAATATTTAATCGGATTTAGTAATAAAACCCTTCAACTAAAGATTTAAGGAAACAAACTCTTAACTTTACTTATGTTAATGTATGTCACCCACCGTCTAAAATATCATGACGGAATGTGATAAACATTAACGGAACTAAAATTGATGATTTATTTTATTAAATCTTTAGTTGAAGGTTTTGTTTGCGATCCATCTTAAGTTGAAGAGCTTTATTACTAAAAACCCCTAACCCATCTTTAAAACTGTGAAATTTGTAAAGTGAAAAAATTAAATTGTAATAGCTAATATATATATATATATATATATATATATATATTTGGTAAAATGTTAAATTAATAGCTAGTATCTATATTTGCTTGTATTAATCTATACTATTAAAAATGAAGACACCCTTGAAAAATCTGACTGATGCAAGTTGTATGCACCCTCATTAATGACATTTTGGTAAGAGTATTTGCATTGTCTATACACAGAAAACCCCAAAATTAAGGATATACCTATTTCTCTCTATCTCTCTCATCCCCCATTTACCACTTTCTTCCCTCTCTTTTATGGTATCGCTGTCTTTTATGGTATTTACCAAATTCACTCTTTTGGTAATTTGTTTTTTGGTCTTACATTTATATATATATATATATATTAATTGTTACAAATCATATCACATATTAAATATACCCGATTTATTCTCTCTCTTCCCATTAATTCTAACCATATTCCATATTATATTTCATACATTTATATTGTCTTATAAACTTTATATTACGGTTTTAATCTATAGATTGACTACATAAATATTTATTATAATATAAATTAATTATATGGTGTTCAGATGCTCTCATACTTATAAATGTTTACATATTTATAAAATAAATTGTAATAAATTGTAATTTTAAATCATAATATATAATTCATATACTGTATAATAAAATCAACAAAAAATATTATTGTTTTTATCAAATAAAAATATACTAAATTATATTTTAATATAGTAATTTAGATATTATATTAAATATAAGTTTTATTCTTTTAATATATATTTTAATATTTTGCATTAATAGATTGAAGTTTGTTGTAAACTCTATGAATATATGTTGTCATGAATATGTAATTCTTTTAATTTATAGTTTATAAAATAATTTTAATTTAGTTATTATATATATTTGATTTATTGTAGTAATTTAATTACGAATAATGTATTTATAAATATTATAGTAATGGTTTTTCTTATTTAATAAATCCTAATGAATTAAAATTAATTTTAATAATATTTAAAAGTACATTCTAATATTTAAAATAATTATTAAAACAATAAATATTTATATTTTACTGAAAAAGATATTAAAAGATATTGTCAAAATGCAATATTAGAAAAGATCTTGGTAATATCTTTGATATCTGATTTTTCAAATATTTAAATAATATATGAAGATTTTTATTGAATAATAACTAAATTTGTTATATGCAAGATAATTTCAAATATTTTCGTATTAACTTTTCTTCATACGTCGATATATCATCATTCTCATGGTGACATTTAATGGATGAGATACGTTTTGTTAAGAAAATATTGCAAAAACTATTTTCTATAATTATCTTCGTACTAAAATAAATGAATTGCTTCATCTACAAGTTTATAAATTAACCACAATCAATATCGTGGTTAGTTATTCTTTGTTTGGTTTCCATAAATTTCGGTAATTTACCGTAGTTATATTACAATTAACTGTTAAACTTTAAACTTCTTAACTAATTCAAAATATCTTCAAGAAATATTCCTTATTCCTCGAAAGAGATATTTTTTAAAATCGTCTAAATATTCTTTCCTACATTTGCGTAACCTAAATGTATATCGTCCCTACCTATTATAAATATAGACTCTTTTAACCACTATATTCATCATTCATTGAAAAACTTAAAACAAAAATGGCGAATAATTTGCAGTTGTCGTGATATAAAACCGAGGAAGACTGCATGTTGCATCCAAGTCAAAATCTTTCATACATGGAGACATTTCATGAAAGACACAGGGGAGACCATGGAACTAATCTTTTGTGATGCAAATGTAAGTTTATCGTTTTGTATAGATTTATGATTTAGATATCTTCATTTTGTAAAAGTGTAACCTAAATGATAATGTTTTCTAAGCATGGGTCAAAACCTAAATGATAATATTCTTCCCTATATTTATGGAAAAATTCTTCTATTTTTAAAACTATATTATTTTGAATCATAAATGTTAATAATTTTCTTATTGGTTAGTTTTCTCCTATTTTTATAATTTATCTCCATTGTTGTGTATCTATTTAACACTAGTATATTTTTATCTAGATGTTATTGGACAAGTTTAATACTTGGGTGATCTGAAAACCATAGGGTGTAGTGGTGGGAAACAAAAGAATAAGTTGGAGTTCAGTCTCGTGGAAACCATATAAATTTTTTTATGGTTAATAGTATAAAGTTAGTCTCTTTACCTATTATAAATTTCTCAAGCGCGGGTCAAAACAAATTGCCGAAACATAAATAAACTATATAATTCGATTATATTTATTGGATTTAACTAAAAATTTGTAATACAATTTTGGGTATTTTTAATAGTATTGATTTTTTCAAGTTTATTATAGGTCATGAACCCATCCAATTTTGGGTTCAATCTAATATAGTATGTGTTTTAATTCTTCAAACTCTCACAACACTTAATTTCTGATTCTCTGTTCAATCACAAACTGAATTGGTTATGCAAACTAAATGAAAAGACCCTACTAAAACGTTAAATATACATTAAATTTCGCATATAAAACTATCATATAATAGAAATCGGATCATTTTATACATTTTGCTACAACCGAAAAAAAACCCGCGCTTCTCAAGCGCGGATCAAAAAATCTAGTACGATATTAAAGATACAAATGAGGACTATGATTCAGTGAACGGTTTATAGCCATTCAGTGAACGGTTTATAGCCATGCAGGCCGATGTATTCCTTTCATCTTCGCATGTTTTTTTTCATGTATGTTTTAGATTTTGATGAATATCTTGTCTGTATCTTTATTTATATAAGATTCATACATACTATCGATTATAAATACATGAACTGCAACCTCTGCATTCTTTTTTTTTTATTTAAAGTTTTAAACTTCGACTATACAAAATATATTTTTATTGTAACTTCATAAAAAAAATTTAAATAAATCTCCAAAAGGGACCCAAATTGGGTTTTGACCAAAAAACCAAAAGATGTTCCATTAAAAACATAAATGATAATTATATCTTTATTCTATATATATATAAAATATAAAAGTATTTAAAAAACTATTCAATATTCAAAACCTTTTTTCTTTATTTTTGCAAAACTCTACCATTTTCATTTTTTCACAATTTATTTTTGCAAAAACATTTTCAACATTCAAAATTAGTTTTTGACAATATTTTAAAATTATTATTTTAAATCTTATATTATAAATCATGAATCCCTGTCAAATCTAAACAACAAGTTGAAACTTGTTTATCATCAGGGTATAAATATCTTTACTTATACCAAATAAATATTGTCTTACTTGTCATCAAACGCAATTAGTTTCGCGAATAGTTTATTTAACTCAATTTCAACTAAATTTTAGTTTCTCCCATATTTATTGAATATAAACGAGGTTTGTGCGTAAGCAGTGGCTCTTCTAAATCTGATGCTATATGCAATTGATGCCTAGTATAGAGAAACATGAATCTGGGATCTTCTTTATCTTAGCCTTAGAGTTGAACCTTGACTTCACCATTAGTGCCTCTATTGTAATGAAGTTTCAATGGCCAATAGAATCAGAAGCATGCCACAAATCACTACATGTTATAGAATTCACATAATCATCAGAAAATCATTGTGATAAAACACTTCTACGAATATATATGATAAATAATATTTCTCGTTTTGATGATATTTAAGAATTTTGAAACTAATAATTTCAAATTTTATAAAATTGAGTTTTGAGAGTTCTAAACCTTCATATATTTAAATAAAAATATATTATATTATTATATTTTTTTTATAAATATATGCAAACGATTATGTTGCGGATTTCGTGAGTCGCACGGTCATATGCGGTAAAGAAGTAAATCGTCCAATTTTTTGGTAATAAAAAATGATTTTTTTTTTATTTTTTTTTTTTTTAATAAAAATAAAAAATGATTTCACCTCTCTGTCAAACATTATAAATATTTTTTCCAAACGAAAATTGCCAAGTAGCAGAGTTGCCTACTAAATACTAAACACTCATCTACCACTAAGACAACAGCTCGTCCAGTTTTGTGTCAATCATCATATTTCCACCCAAATTTCTTACATGGTTAATTATTTTGCTAAATTTGTTTCGTATTAAAGTCATTCAGCCAGTTCACCCCCATATAACAAGATATATAAGTATCATAGCAAATTCAATTGTTCGCTAGATTAACGTAAGATCATTAATGAATGCTGAAGAATTAAAAACGACTTGTTTGAATTATGTAGGAAATATGACCACGAAATTTCGGGCGAGTTCTATTAATATAACCAAGAGAGAGTTACATAAAAGAACACAATCTGACTTTTGTTTACTTTAAAAGACACATTGTATTTTTAAGACACTTTCCCTTGCCACCTGTTTTTTTCTTGACATATATAACCCAGTCTTTTGTTTGAGGAGAAGTGTTTTTTTTTTTTTAAACTAAAAGTATATAGAAAATAATGAATTATTTTGGGACGTTGGATCTGTTTATATGCATAAGATTTAACCGTTAAGAATACAACTATCATTATGCTTCTTCAATAAGTGATCACCACGATCTCTATTCTACACTCAAGAACTAACCATATCAAAACTCTATCAACCACAACTTTTTTGACCACAAAACTCAAGATCACAATTCACCGACAAAGACCAATATTCATAACTCTTCTAACCGCAATTCCCCCGACAATAATTCTCAACAGTCTTGATTCTACATTCCATAATCAACCAGATCAAAACTCACCTACTAAAGACTCATATGTCCACAACTCTCTTGACCACAATTTTCCTGATCACAATTATCCTGACCACAACTCTACCGACCACAGATCTGGAATACAACTCTATGGACCACAACAGAGCTTTCAATCTGAGGCTTAAGGGGAGATGCAACGGTGATTCCGACGACTTAGAAGCTTGTTGTGGTCGTGGATTTTGTTGAGAGTTTGTCTCACTCACCTACTAAAAACTCATATGTCCACAACTCTCTTGACCACAATTCTCCTGATCACAATTATCATGACCACAACTCTACCGCCCACAGATCTGGAATATAACTCTACGGACCACAACAGAGCTTTCAATCTGAGGCTTAAGGGGAGATGCAACAGTGATTCTAACAACTTAGAAGCTTGTTGTGGTTGTGGATTTTGTTGAGAGCTTGTCTCCTTGTGTCCCCATGGCAACTCCGTGCAGCGTGCTCCATTGACGCGATGATGTCTTGAGATCCCATTGATAACCAACAAGACAATCCAAAAACTCAAATCCTTTAATTGAAAGATACGGAACTTGTTTGGTTTTGAATGTGAGATAGAGAGAGATTCATGTTTGGTTTTGAATGTTTGGTTTTGAATGTTTTGTTTTGAATGTGAGATAGAGGAATCAGAGAGATTGGGTTTTGGTGTTGGGAAGATAACGTTTCCCAAAAGACAATAGTGTAAGAAGAATAAGCTGATCTCTAAAAAATATAAGAATCTTGGTTTGAATTGTCAAAGATGATAGATGAATCTGAGAAATTGTGTTTGGAATTAGGTTAAGAGAAAGGGGATCTGAGAGTTTTGAGTTATTGATGCAGAAAAATGTTTCTATAATTGATTATTTACTCAACACGTTGATATCTAGTTTAAGGGTAAATTAGACAAAATGATTTAGGAAAGTGTCTTCCAAACTCAAAGTGTCTTTTTAAGTAATTGGAAACTTAGAATGTGACTCTGAGAGTAAAATTTTCTATAACCAACATAAAATTTTGTTGGTGAGCAGTTGATGTTCTGTTGGTGCGAACGTGGGTCCAACAACCTTGATGTTATACAATTGATTGATTCTGCTGTGAACAACGTTTTTAATTATGAGACCCCAACACTTATCAATATATTTTCACCTAAATCAAATTCTTTGTATTACTCTATGATGTCCATATATATACACCTACCCGTAAGTGATTATTAGACGTCAGGATAAACATTTTATGAGAAAGAGACGACGTGGCGTATTCTACCACAAGAACGCCACCTAAAAAAGATCAAGATCATGCATTTTATTTCGCTACTATTGTATTTTTTTAAGTGTATGGCATATTTTAGGGGATATTAATTTTTATTATGTTAGTAAATAATACTAGTTGTACTATTATATATTTATCGTCGTGCATTTAGGTATTTCTTGAATGAAGAAACTAGTAGCAAGTCATTTTGATCTTAATTAGAAACTAATTAAGATCAAATTTAGAAACAAAGTTTGTTACTCTAAAAACAAATTTAGAAACTAGTAGCAAGTCATTTTGTTATGCTAAAAACAAATTTTAGAAACTAGTAGCAAGTCATTTTGATCTTAATTATATTTTTTTGAAAGAAGATTTTGATCTTAATTATAACTATAAGTATATAAAATTTATTTTCATTTTATTTACTGATAGTTATATAACTAAAATTTATTTAATTATTTTTGGTGAATGGGTCATCGTATAACCATGAAAAAAATAGTACACCAATAGTCGAATTAAATTTGATATATAAATATAAACACAAGTAAAAAAATCAAATTTAAATTATAGGAAAATATTTAAATTTTATTTTCCTTTTACATACAAACATTAGAAATAGGTTATGAGTTAAGATATAATAAGTATTTGAGTAAATGCTAAAAATTAATTTGACTCGTTTTAATTTCTATCCAGTTATGAGTTGTGTTAAAAACTGTATTTGGATTATGTAGAAAATTTTGTTAACGCTGGTTAAATTTGAGTTAAGTATAGAAGAAAATGTTTTGAAATAAATGGGAAAAATTCCTAATTTTTTTTTTCTAAAGTTATCTTATTTTAATATTTATTTATCTAATATATTTGTAAATGATGGATATAAAAGCATAATTTAATCATTTGACCCTTGTGGACTAGTTTTTAAAGATATGAATTGAGACTATATGAGATCATTTCTCTATACTTGTCGCTTATCACATACAACTTATACAACTTATAGTAATAAAGAGATCTTCATTTTAAGAACTTTACATCTCTATCTATTATTACTGCTCGTCTACACTATACAATACTTTAACGTCTTACCATAATACCATCACTTCGATGCAAGACGCAAAACTATACGAATCGTTTGGTACCAAAAAAGAGAGTGTGTCCTTTCATGAAGTGAAAGCTTGCCTGAAGACCCAACGAAAAAAAACGCTGCGTTTTCTTCGTCAAAATTTGTCGTCTGTTCTTCTTCATCTACAGTTTCTGTGAGTAGAACTTGCGGTTGCGTAGATATAAAACAGTTGCTAAAACTGCGGCGATAGAACAAAGCATTCCCCAAAAGATCAAAGTGGTTTGAAAGCAATTCATCCCAAAACACTTCCCATCAAAACGTCCATCGAAGGCAGCTCCATCACGGTAAACTTTAGCTGCAAATGAACCAAAAGCGAAAGAACCAATAGGAATACTTCCGACAACAACGTTGTGATTAACTCCAAAATGCTTTGTCCCAAAAAGACCAGCAGTGGTTGTGACGGAGAGAGAAATTAATGATCCGGAGGAGACGCCGATCAACCCCGTGCTGACGTAGAGAGCAATGTCGGAGTCTATGAGGAGGAGTAGAAACGAAGCAACCATTGCTACCAGTGAGACCGCCATAGAAACCGGGCTTGATGGCATGTATTTGTTCCTGTAATAAATATTAAAAGAATAGGATTAGAATAAATCCCGAAATATTAGGGAAAATCATTATAAAACACGTAGATGCAGGGAATGCAGCACACGTTATAAAAGTACGTGCTAGGTCAACTTATTTGTATTATTAAGGAATAATTAATAAGGTTTTTTAATCGGTATATTCTTAGTTAATAAAAAATGGTAAAAGGTAATATTACCTAGAGAAGAAGTAGTCGAGTAACGAAGGAAGCAAGCGGCCGAAAAAACTGAACGAGGACGAGAGAGCGACCAAGGAAGTGGTCGCGGCGCAGCCACGAGACTCAGCTATTTGACCAAGATTGTTCATAAACACTATCCCCACCGTTGGACCAAACAAATAAAGTCCAAAATATATCCAAAAATCTAGTTTCTTCCATAGTTTTGTCCACTCGACCTCTTCTTTAACTTCAGCTCTCGCCTTCTCATCAAACTCTTCTTCTTCCTCTTCTTTCTTTTCATCTTCTTCCGTAGAAACTTCTAAGTCGTATACCTTTTGTTGACTTCTGCTAGAGGACACAAATTCTTCTAACCTAATTCCAGTTGGAATAGCCAGAGGAGCAAGAAGAAACAAAACAATGCCCATTAGTACTAAAACCGCAGGAGCGGTGATAAGACTTGTAGCCACGGCGTATATCCCCGTGGCTATAGTCAAAACGAACAAAACTTTAAACCCCACGTTAACATCCAGAGAAGAAAACGACGTCGTTTTCGCTTTTCTCATCAATATAGGAGCCGTTAGGAGAAAGCGGCCAAAGGAACTATAGAGTTGAGCAAAAGATAACCAGAGGCGGCTTCACGTTGAGACGAGTAGAAGAATGTGTGGACTATCTCGGCGTAGATTTTGCCACCCAAACCTTGATAACTCATTATGATCCCTACGGCCACTTGACGGTTCACCGGAAAACTGTTGAGCGCGACTATAAAACAAGCGGTGTTGATCCAGCAGATACTGTTTCCGGCCAAGAAACTCAGGCCCCATATCTGGTAAAACGGTAACGTGAACATCTTTTTGACGATGGATAGATACTGGAGACCGTAGCCGGCGAAACCTAAAGAACCTCCGGCGAGGAGGACGAGTGGTAAAGGAAGATGGACGGCAGCGATGCCGGAGATGAAACCTAGGACTTTTCCGGCGTCGGAGGCGAAAGAGAGGTAGTTGAGTTGAAACTGAGAGATTGAGAGAAACTCTTTGAGCTGTGAAGAGTAAGCAGGGAAGTTCAAGTTGGTGGCGTTGATAGATTGAAGCCATATAAGAGCCACGAGGCTAATCCACCGGAGAACGTTTGGAGACATGTTTCTTGAGAGAAGTGCTTAAGTTGGCTGAAAATTATATAGAGATTGTGAATATTGAGAAGATCACTTGTTAGAGCAATCTGTATTTATAACTGATGAGGTATTTGATGTTGATTTATATTTCTAATGGGGGTTAGTGTTGTGGTGAGGAGAAGGAAGGTAAGGTTAATTTAGTAAGCAAGAAAAAAATGAATGAGGAAATGATAAGTTTTCAGAAACATACCAAAGTAGTATTAGAATGGATGACTTCCCAAAAAAATGTATATGTTGCACCACTTTTCTTTAGAGAAGGAAAAGGGATATATATAACTACTGTTTAAATTAAGTCCGCCGGTGTCGCCGGCTTTTTTAAAACGTTATTTGTCAGTATGTACTATTCTTTTATGTACTTTTCCAATTTATAAAAGATTAGGGGTATCAGATGTTATAAAAAAGAGATTAGGGATACATTGAATCAAGGATTTGGTAGTTTTTTCCCTTTTTTTCATATCTCTTTTTATTCTATACTCCATCTGATTCAAAAAGATAAATGTTTTAAATAAAAGTGTGTTTCAAAAAAAAATATTTTATTTTAATTTTTATAAATTAATAGTAGTAAACTGTTCACTTCAAGAAAATAGCTGTTCCTCTTAAAATACGATTTGTTTAAAATCATGAAAAATGGATATTTACTTTCAACTAAAATTAAATATGTTTTATTATTTATTTTTCTCATCTCAATATGTTTTATTAATATGTTTGAAAAAATGGAGTACATAAATTTAGTAAAATGTTTCAGCATCCTATTTTATTTTATTTTATTTTTTTCCGGCATCCTGTTTTATTGTATTGAACATTTGCTAAAAATGTTTTAGTAAACTCTCGAACGGTTTTTTCAATTTCAGAACACTTGTAATTTCTGGTGATATTTATACATTCACGTTCCGGTCCACAATATTTATCCTCACATGTATCTTAATAAGAGCCATGAAAATACATGTATTCGCTGAAAACATTCAATACGCCTAGATGTAACCCGACATAACAAAAAATTTCGTCAACCATAAAATTTGTATCAGCAACCTATCAATCTGTTTTAATTCATCTTCATTCATATGTCATTTTCACTTTACTTGGTAGTTTCTGTACATTTCTGATTACTTTTTTTTTTTGATCAGAGATCACTTTACTATTTCTACGTACACATTTTTCATTTCAAAGATCACTTGCGGCACGAAGCTAACATACACGACTCAAAGCCAATATACACAAAGCCAATATAGCATGGTTCAAAACCAACATACATGGCCTGAAGTCAACAACCACGCCCTGATGCCTAGCATGCGTGACCTGAAGCCCCTTCACTGAGCCAATTGATCAGTCTCCCTCAGCCACATGTCCCCAAACCCCACGATCCCGAAGACAACCATCATACTGCTCAAAGCCAATACATAATAAGTCTATCTAGGCAAAACATTAGGCGTGAATGTAACCAGATAAGAATATAATTAGATACGAACCTTCTTTCATTAGAGTAACATGTTTACAGAGAACGCTTCTATCAAGTGTCCTTCTCCCATCCTCCAAGAGTGAAAATTATCTTTATGTGAGAATCCGATCATATACCACACTTTGTTCGCATGGTTGTACAAAGAAGGAAAAATGCATCCCAGTAAGATGGTTAAATTACATAAACATCATTACTTGAATTAATATTTTTCTCTCCAGAACAAAAAATATTAATCGCATATATTGCATATCAACAATTGTAACTATGACCGAATGTGAATTTTTTTTATAACCACTTCTTTGAGACGACCATGAGGCATGAACTGTATGTCAACCAATCTTATTAGGTTTTAGTACTTTCGTAACATTATGATTGTTTGTTATGTGTATAGCTGGAACTGCATGTTCAACATAAGATAAAGACCATTGACCAATCACGCAAAGAGACAAACTCGCAAACATCAAATAAAAAATGCAGTATTCAACTTCTGCACAAGATCTTGACACATTATGATAGTTTCTAGATTTCTAGGACATCAATAAATATGATACTAACCACTCATAAACCTTCTAGCTAGTATCTAACAATAGACTCATTATCTGCGTATGTAAAACCTTTGAGTTCTAGAGAGATATCTATATAACATATTAGACGCTATCCAACGTTTCTTTTTATATAATGTAGCACCGTCAAGCTGCTTGATAATGTAAACTGATGAGCCGTTGTAAGCGAAGACGTGCAACCACGTAAACTTGTTGTATCCAATAACTTGAGAACAAGAAAAAGTCTCCAACCCAAGTATTTACTTTTGATCTCATAAATCTTTGGTATGTCTACAATACTAGCATAGTTTCCTTTGCGTGCATTAAACGAGATTAGAGAAACCAATTATGACGAAAAAGTTCAGTAAACGGTTTAGTTATAGTCCATTTTGATGAATTGTTTTATTTTACCGAATCCACAAAATCAGTTCTTGCAAACTGAATCCATTGGCGCCAAAAGGCTGTACCTATGTCCTATATATCTATATTTTCTTTTCATCTTAACCTGATCTTTTTCATATATGATCCATACATAGTATCGAATTTAAATACGGATACTGACACAATGATACTAAACAAAATTTCTTTATTTTTTCAAACTTTTAAACTTCAACTATACAAAATATGTAATAATAAAATAATAAAAAAATGCACCATTTGAACATAATACAAACTTAACATTATTGGACAAACTTACAACAAAACACGTATTGTGTCAAAAAAATAGTAGGGAATACATATGACACTAGGTTTCCTTTTATATGCGTGCCTTAACACAATGATAGGTTATATTCAACCAATATTTAATTTAAGTCTAACAAGTTAATGAGTACGGCCGCACAATTATTCAAATTCCTAGTCTATAATGAAATTGAGTAATACACAATTGGCATATTAATATTACAATAAAACCATAGTATAATGTTTACAACTAAATTAAAAATTGATACTTTCATTCTCTTCCACTATTTATGATAAAAATAAGAAATGTTAACAAATTGTGCCCTTGCTTCTCGAAACGCGCATGATGGCAACAGTTTATGATCGAAACCGACTCGCCCGTCGTTGACCTACTTTCTTGCCTATGTCACTTTGTCCTATGATTTCTACATGGGAATCTATATAATATTCTTTTAGTGCAAATATCATTAGAAAAGTGATCCGGCTGTACAGAAGAGTTTATCCTGAAACTATTGTTGCCATTGATTTCACGTGGTAATCTATTTCTCGTTGCCAAAGAAACGAATAAAATAGAAAGAAAGTACGAGAAAGAATATCAAAAGACAGCAAAATAAAGAAGTCGTCGCTCCAACTGTTCGTTCTTCATCAGATATTTCCAATAAACAATCTCATACCGACACCAACTCCAGTGGTACTCTAGTTGCCAGTTCAGATTATCTTCAAGTTCAACGGCCCTTTTTTTTTTTTTTTTTTTTCTGGTCGTCTGATGTTATATTGATTTCAAACAGGAAAGAGCCAACATGCAAGTTACAACGACTATTGTAATGAAACAACACCATAATCCAAAGCTAAAGGTTTAGAGACACAACCTTGGAACCATAAGCCGACAATGGTATAGTTACAATCTCGGAGACAAAATCAGACTTGGACACACTTAAACTAACAAGCAAGGACAGACATAACTAATGACATAAAAGACCAATGCCTAAACAAACTAGAGAATACTCAAACCAAGTCATAGAGATAACAAACCAGACCGATAAGTTATGTATAACCGTTGTTGTAGATTGTGTCTCATAAGCGCCTCTGCTCCACCGACCCACTCCAGAACCAACTGAACACGTCAATGGACTTTGGAGAAGGTTACTCTACGCCATCACCACAAGTGCGCTCCATTAACTCCCTTCAGATCCAACTAAAACTCGCCATTGACCTCTGTAAGGGCTCATCACGCGCCGTCAAAGCGCCTCAAGACCACGACAGAGCCAACCAAACCTTACTTGACACGCTCTCACTCAAACCAGCCGGTAACCATGGTCTCACCACCACAAACCATAGATCTAACGAGATCGACGGCCATGGATTCCGATCTGAGACTCTGCTTCAGAACAAAGAGATAAAGCTTTTGACCAGATCTAGAATCCTCTAAACTAAAGAACACGACTTAAGCAAGATCGAAACAAGACAGAGGGGGTTTCCATCTTCTCACAGTACCAACGACCCTTTTTGGAGAGTACTTTTCAGGCAAATTAATTTCCATAACACAAATCATACATTACAAAGTTAATCAATATTTAATAATTTCGAAGACAAAGTATTACGTAACCAAATTAAAACAATATAAAACTGAGCTTAACGATGCTTTCTGAAGTGAAGTCTTACTCGATAACAAATAAGAAAAATCTGTTTCCGGAAAGTATTAACACTAACCCATTTAATATAGTAAAACTAAACATTTGCAACATTCAAATCGAGAAGCTTCTCAACTCTTTTTAGGAAGTTTAGCAATATTATGGTCAATGAAACCCAACTAATTTCACACATTTAACGCCATCTGTACTGGTTGACGCCATTAGTGAAACTCAGCATAAGATGAAAGACGATCGGAAACAAGAACCAAACCAGCATGATCAGAACTATGCAAGAATAGTATTCTTATATTGACCCAAGAATGCGAAAGTTGATTACTTGAAGCTAGTGGCGGACCGAATAAATGTTTTACATGGGTTATGATTTGTACCGTAAGCTCAAACTGTAACAAAAAGCCGAGAGACTATAGCATTAAAATATTCAAAAAGGTCAAAACTGGGTGCAAGAAGGCTTTGAACTCGGGTTACTAATATATAATACAGCTTATAAATTAAATTCTTAAATTTAACTAGTGTTAGTTATCCCTCTTCTCTCTATGTGGATTTGCCCCTACTTGAAGCCATGATTCGAAATAACCGAAGGAAAAGAATATTGTGCTAAAAAAAAGAAAAAAAACTCAATCGGACATTAATTAAACAAAATCAACATCATAAATCGCGAAACAAAGGTGGTGAAGTAAAGAATCAGAACAACTACCAAACTGAGGAAAATCGAGATCAATCGAAGTTCTATAACATTCATAGCAATGGAAAAGAAGCTCGCAAAGCTGAGAAACGAAGATCCACGAGCTCAAATGCAGAGAAACAATAGAAGATGGTCAACGAGGAAGAAGAATTCAATGTGGCTCTAATACCATATTGAATGAAATGAAATTAGCTTCTTAATTTATTCACAATATATACACTGGTTTGGTAAAAATGAAGCTAAATCAACTAATAATCGTTAAACTAAACCGGAGTATACCAGCCTATATCAGCTAATAACTTACTTTTTCACTAAAGACTTATCACAACGTGTTAGTTAATCATTGCGGTCGATAACAGAACCACAGAACTGAAAAATGTTAATTTGACTATCTTAGCTAAAAGTTATTCCGCCCCATTATGTTACCGTTTAACATGTACCACATAATACTGTTTAAACTTGGAAAGCCAATCTTAGTAGATACCATCTACAAGTTCAGAATAATAATATGCTATAGTTGTCTGTGATATCTGTTTATTAGTTCTATGGGTTCACTAAGTTCCAATATCTCATCTTTGTATAATTTTTTTAAATTAATACTCCACTAAAAATTTCTATAAAATAATATAGTTTTATAATTTTAAATTAAGTTTTTAATTCATTTAATATATCAATAAATTAATAAAAAATTATAATTTTGGTATACTCTCAACATTATTAATTTTAAGACATCGTTTTCAAGCTCGGGTAACCCAAATAACCCTGTCGGATACAAAAAAAATTGGTTTGGAAATTGTAACCGAATATCTCCCAGCCGGTTAATTAAATCTAAGGGTTTGGTTCTGTTTCTGTTCTTGTCGGAGTCTTTCTCGATTTCTCGGAGTGAGTGAGCTGAGAAATTCTTGAAACAGAGGTGGTTGTTTCACAAAATGTCTGCGATGGGTGAAACCTCTTCAACTCAGAAGCCTGTAATCGTTAGGGTTAAGCGTAAAGCAGGACACTCTCCACTCGATGCTTTCTGTAAGCTTCTTCTCTCTCTTCATCTTCTTTAGAAATGAAAGAAAGGACCTTTAACAATGTTATGGGCAATTAGGGTTGGAGATCAACGAAAGACCATTCAAACGGCCGTTACCGAACTTATCAAAGCTATCTCTTTCCAGTTCCAACAAGAAAGGTTGGTCCTTTTTTATATCAAAGCTTATCTCTTTCCATGGTGAAGCTTGAAATGTTGTTCATGTGGCAGAGGATTTGAAGCCCAAGAAAGTGCTTGTGAGTCATTTGGAGACAGTCACTGACTCTGAGACCACTGTTGATGTTATTCACTCTTTGTTTGTGAGGGAACATTTTCTTTTATTTTTTTGGTTACAGTTTAAACCTTTCTTGTTGGTTTTGCATGTTCTGATTGTTGTTGTGTTCTGCAGGAGTCTGATCTTAAGGAGATTGGTTTCAGAAAAGGAAAGTGTGAAGAGCGGAAAGTTAATTTCAAGAAAGACAATGTATGTTGTTGTTTTAGTCTTGATTCGTGACTCATCACTGCTACTCCTATGATTAGTTTTAAAGTTCATTTTTTTTTTTGGGATTCTGCAGAGAAAGGAACAACTCCTGACCAAAGCTGTACTACAGCAACAGGTAAGTAACTGGCTCTCTTGGTCATAGGAGACGTCTTAACTGTTACCATTTTAGCTAACTCGAGACTCTCTGCTAGACCACTGCACAGAATGCTCGGTTTAAGCAAATATGGAGGAGTAGGAAGGGAAACAAGGATAAGAGGTGTAATTTCTATGATGTTATTCGTGTTGATGCTGAAGAAAGACCACCAGAGAATGGACCAGAGTAAGTTCCACTGTCTAGTAATATGACACTTATGGTTCGCAGTAAACAGTTTCTCTCATCTTACTTACTCTTAGGCTGACGACATCCTTGGAGGACCAGAAGTTGCTGGCTAGTTTCTTGCCTCTCCTTAGAGAGAATATTCCGAGAGCAGCTGAAGATATTGAAACTGATATACATTATACGGACGAGGAAGAAGAATACGTTTATGATTTCTATGTTGTAAAGGAAGAGATGGATATTAGTGAAGACAGTTCTTATGAGCTTCAGTTTCCTCTGTGAGTGTTTTCTTTTTACTGAACACCTTTCATTTATTCATCTTTTGTCACCTGCTGATTTAGGTTCTTGGGTTATTTGTAGTGTCATAGTTAAAGAGGAAGAAGAAGAGTTCCGTGATGGACCTGATGAATCAGACTATGACTCTGATGATTCCAACGGTAACACATTCTTGTTGAACTTGTTAGAACAATGATGCATTTGTATGATTGGTGTTGTTGTGTCCATGGTTATATATTACCATGGTGTGTCCTAGAAACCAAAAGTCCAGAAAGAAGTAAATACTAAACTACTTAGATATCTTTTGTATGATTCAGCTGAAGCTCATCCAAAGAACGATTATTACCCAGATGAGATCTTTGAAGAAGAGGAAGATGACGAAGAAGAAGAGGAAGATGAAGAAGAGAGTGAAGTCTCAGATGATTCAAAAGAAGAGGGGAGTTCAGAAAGACAGGTGAGACACGAGTTCGATGATTACGCAGAGGATAGCGATATGGAGTTTGTGTACACTTAGTTGGTGTCTTACTCTTACTAATGAGTTTTTATTGTAGCAAATAATATGATATGTCAAGAAGACTGTAGTGTATGTTTAAAACAAAACTAACTTAAAAATCTGGTAGATGTCTTGTATCACAAGTAATATAAAGATAAAAGAGTTATTACATGAAAGTAGGAAATTTCAATTTTACAACAAATTTGGTATCATTTTCAAATTTAACATTAATGAATAACTATTTTCAAAAATATTATAAATTAGTGATAAAATAATACTAAGTTAATTTTTGCAAATATTTATAGAACATTTATAAATCCAACTCTAACCTCTTAATACTAAACCTTAGATAATAATCACTAAATTCTAAATTTAAATGTTAGTATATTTTTTGATTGGTGGTATTTAATTTGTGGTATTTCTAACAATTTTTCTAAAACATTTCATTTTTATTCTTTCGTATTAAGTTTAGATATTCATCTTTCACTCTTTTTGTCCTATTCATCTTCGGATAATACAAAGAAAAGTATAAAACAAATGCATTGGAGGTGTATAACCGACGGTCTAACTGTTTTTGGTTCAATTGATTTCCGGTTTAGTTAAAGTAACTTGTCTTCATCATCGCCGACGACAAAAATGACCATTAACACGCGGTTTCACACACAGTCCAGGAGACGACCCAACCAAAAAAAAAAAATATCCCATTTCCGTTGGTCAACCATTTACATAAATATTAAAACAAAAAAAAATAACAATATTTAGAGGACAAGCAGAAAAAGACAAAATGTGAAAGAGAGACAAAACCTTGCTCGATACGCCACCCTCATCGTCTTCTTCCCACATCTTTATCCTCTTTCTCCAAAGATCATTTCTCTTACAAAAAAAAGTTCTTTTCTTTTTATAACAACTCCTCTCGTTCCTGTGATCCTTAAAGTTGTCTCCTTTTTTTTAATCCAAAGACCATGTCTTCCACTTCTTTCACCGACCTCCTTGCTTCCTCCGGCGTTGACTCTTACGAACAAGACGAAGACTTTCTTGGTGGGTTTTACCCGGAGAGTACCGGGTCGGGTTTACCTAAGTTCAAGACGTCTCAGCCGTCTCCTCTTCCGATCTCACAACCTTCTCGCAACTTCGCTTTCTCCGAGTTGCTTGACTCTCCTCTCCTCCTCAGCTCCTCTCATGTAAAGCTTCCATCTTTATTATCTCATTTTCATCTTATATTTAAATATTTATATAAAATCAAAATCCGAATCTCTTTTGTGTGTGCAGAGTTTGATATCTCCAACGACAGGAGCGTTTCCGTTTCAATCAGATTTTCCCTGGCAGATACAATCGCAACCGCAACCGCCAAACGCTGTTTCTGTATGTGTGTTTTCTCTTTAGACATCTAACGTTTCCTTGTACTGAATTAAAGGTGTGTGTCTATTACAGGCTTTGCAAGAGACATATGTTGTTCAAGATCTCCAGAAGAAGCCGGTTCCTAAGGTGCCATCATACATGGTGAGTAGGAACTCTAATGATGGTTATGGTTGGAGAAAATACGGTCAGAAGCAAGTGAAGAAGAGTGAGAACCCTAGGAGTTACTTCAAGTGCACGTATCCAAACTGTGTTTCCAAGAAGATTGTTGAGACTGCTTCTGATGGACAGATCACTGAGATCATCTATAAAGGTGGTCATAACCATCCTAAGCCTGAGTTCACCAAGAGACCCTCATCAGGTTCAGGAGCATCATCATCGGCGGCTAATGCGAGAAGAATGTTTAATCCTTCTTCTGTTGTTAGTGAAACACATGATCAGTCAGAGAACTCGTCGATTTCGTTTGATTATGGGGACGTTGATGAAGAGAAGGAACAGCCTGAGATTAAGAGATTGTAAGTAGTTAATGGAAACCAAAATGTTTCTAAGAAAGAAATAAAATGACTTTTTTTCTGTGTGTGATAGGAAAAGAGAAGGTGAAGATGAAGGGATGTCTGTACAAGTAAGCAGAGGAGTGAAGGAACCAAGAGTTGTTGTTCAAACAATAAGTGAAATTGATGTTCTTATTGATGGCTTTAGATGGAGGAAGTATGGTCAAAAAGTTGTCAAGGGGAATACTAACCCAAGGTTGTTACAAATCTCTTAACTAATTTCTCAAATTTTATAAGTTTTTCTTTTCATGTCCCTGATCCTCGTTGGTTATGACAGGAGCTACTACAAGTGCACATACCCAGGTTGTGGAGTGAGGAAGCAAGTGGAAAGATCAGCAGAAGACGAGAGAGCAGTTCTCACTACCTATGAAGGAAGACACAATCATGATGTCCCAACCTCGCTACGTCGCTCATGAAAACAGAACATTCTTGGGGCTTAAGTTACTAGTAATATCATTTAGGGTTTGGAAAAAGAATCTTACTATGGCTATCTTTTGGGCTCATTACAGTTTGTTTATTTGTTTGTAACACAGTCAGTGCTTTGTGTTGTACAGAGTGGTGATTTGTAGTTTTTATTTTTTATATCTTCTTGGCCTTGGACAACCTCACTATACATGTGTGTGACTTTCAACACTTGAGAGTCCATTTTAGTTTCTTGTGTTTAGCCTTTTTCTTGATTTGTGTATATTTCACATTCAAGATTGATTATAAACAATAGTGGTATTTGATCATTTGCCTGTTATCTTAAGAGTGTATTGTTTACACCTTTTAAAAAAAAAAATTAAAATTCTCAATGTATAATATATTATTAGAACATAAAAGTGAAACCAATACCACAAGTTTAGAAGGGTAAAGATTATACACAAAGAACATCAACCAAATAGATGGAAAGAAACAAAATAGGCTCACATTTCTTCTATTGTCTCACGGGAAAAGGGCCTATTCCTACCCGAACAATTTCAATCGTGCCAAATACAACCTGGACAAATTTTCAGTACCAAATACGATCTGAACTACTTTATAATGCAAAAATACTACCTGAACTTTTTAAAACGTGCCTAAACCTACATTGACCGTAACAGAAGTTAGTCAACCGTTAAAATGATAAACCGACGTCGGGAAAATGGTCTATTCCTACCCAAACAATTTCAATCGTGCCAAATACAACCCGAACAAACATCTAGTGCCAAATACGACCTGAATTACGTTATAATGCAAAAATATTACCTGAACTTTTTGAAACGTGCCTAAACTTACATTGATCGTAATAGAAGTTAGTCAACCGTTAAAATGATAAAACAACGTCGGGACTCGAACCCGGGTTTTGTCACTATTTAAAACATACACATCAACCACTAGACTAAAGCAATTTTTTTAAAAATATTACCAATTTGCAATTATATATGCTACTATACTTTTTAATCTTCTCTAATTAAAACTTTTGTTATTATTATTTCCGATTCTTATAAATATATTAACATATCTTGTAATTATTATATCTTCAATAAACTTATATTATACTAAAATATAAATAATAAAATATTTATAATCATACAAAATTAAATATATTTCATGTTTTTCAACTATTTACAAAATGTCCATATATAAATTATTTTAAAAATAAAACGTAATGGTAATTTATTTTATTTTGGTAAAGTATATTCAGCTTAAATTAATTTTAAGAAACAAAAGAAATTAGTATTTATAAGTTTATTAAATATGTTTATATATTAATAAGAATCAAAAATAATAATAAGCAAAGTTTTAATTAGAGAATATGAAAAAGTATAAAAGCATATATATAATTGCAAATTTGTAGTACTATTTAAAAAAATTGCTTTAGTCTAGTGGTTGATATGTCTGTTTTAAATAGTGGCAAGGCCCGAGTTCGAATTCCGGAATGTTCATATTTTTAAAAATAATGAAATCGAAACAACATCGTTTTATCATTTTAACGGTTGACTAAATTCTGTTACGGTCAATGTAGGTTTAGGCACGTTTTAAAAAGTTCAGGTAGTATTTTTGAATTATAATGTAGTTCAGGTCGTATTTGGCACTGGATGTTTGTTCGGATTGTATTTGGCATGATTGAATTTGCTTGGGCAGGAATAGACCCGACGTCGTTTTATCATTTTAACGGTTGACTAACTTCTGTTACGGTCAATGTAGGTTTATGCACGTTTTAAAAAATTCAGGTAGTATTTGTGATTATAACATAGTTCAGATTGTATTTGGCACTGAATGTTTGTTCGGGTTGTATTTGGCACGATTAAAATTGTTTGGATAGGAATATGCCTTTTTCCCATTGTCTCACATACCTCTCTTTCTTTTTCTGATTTTATTTCTTTTACCTCACCAAAGTTTTGGAACCAATCAGAAGTTAACCTTTATCAACCCACGTAAAAACAGAGTCCTCTGTTATCTCCGTACGCTCACACTAAACTCTCATTCTTAATGCATCATCAATTACATTTTCTCCTTAGAATCAAAACATAGCCTTCATAGTTTAACCCCAAGCCTACTCTCTCTCTTTCAAATCTTTCAATTTTCCAATTCGATCCGATTTCGTAGAGCTATTTACTCGATTGTAGACACTTCATAGTTTAACCCTAAGCCTACTCTCTATTATGGACTAAAGTCCCACATCGGTTGTTGGAAGGGATCTCTAGCAATATACAGTAGAACCTCTATAAATTAATACTCGATAAATTAATAATCTCTATAAATTAATAAATTTCACCGGTCCCAACTTGGGTCGGTGTAAAATATGACACATATCCATAAAATAATAAGATAATAATATTTTTAAAACTGCAATGTAAATATATGGTCCCACTAAAATCATAAATTAATAATCTAGCTATATATAGTTTTATATGAGTACAATCTAACATTATATTGTTGGTTTTATATTTACTATAAATTACTTTTATTTTTTGAACATTTCAATATATTTTGATAATATTTAGTTAGGAGTTTTATATTTACTATAAAAATAATTTTTTTTAAAAAAAATTCAACATATTTTGATAATATTTAGTTAAATTATATAAAAAAACATGTAACAATTCTATGAAACTTAAAAATATACACCAAATAAGATAATAAAACATATAAAAGTCAAATTTCTAAAATTTAAATAATGTACATATGCTAAAATCAAATATATTTTTTTATTTTAAAAATGGAAAAGATCAAAAAAAATCTAAATAAGGAAACTTTCGTAAATTAATATCTCTATAAATTAATAAAATTTCAAAGTCCCAGTATTTTATTCTACAGCTATTGGCGTGATTTCGTGCAGATTTAAGTCCAAATACTTGACAAAACCAGCAAGTTGTTACTGAAAGGGGTGCTAGAACCCAAAAAAAAATAGAGAAGAAGAACATTATTGAATTTTCTTTTTAAATGGGTTTGAGAAACAAAAAAGATGTGTGTTTACGAGAGATGGGACATAAAGGATGGGAATCCATGTGAAGGTAGCCGAATCAGATGCCCTCGCCAGCTTTCTTTTTTTTTTCTATTAATTTCCTTTTTCTTGTTTTTGAATTTTTAGAAATATAATTTGTTGCTTTTCATTTTTATGGTTCCTTATTGAATAATCAATGAGGCCTTTATTAATATTCCATACTCCCTCTGTTTTTAAATAAGTGTCATTTTGACTCTTTGCACATAAATTAAGAAAATTGTATGATAGACTAATATATCCCTATTTAATGTATGTTTAATTAAATGAAAATAATTTAAGTAAAATACTATTGGTTATTCAAAAGGGTAAAAAATAGATTTAATGTACAAAATTACATTGGGATTGTAGAATGACACTTTTTTTGAAACAAAATTAAAAGACTAAAGTGACACTTATTTAGAAACAGAGGGAGTATATAGTAAATAGTACTAACTTTATTGCACTTCATATGATTGAGAATTTTATTTTATTGAGCTATATGGGTTGTTTTTCAGCTTCAAAGGGTTTTCGATTGGTCCACCTACACGGCTACATCTACATGTGACAACCTGCATGACTGGTCCACTCTTTCTATAAACTTTTAATTAGCTTTCTTGATTTCGCATTATTCACCAATAAGTAATCAAAATAATATTTTTATTTAACCACCGAACTTTAAAATCAAACCAAGTGGTCTAAATACGTTGCATTACAGTTGAACATGCAATTGTTCTTAAAAATGCTTCCATAAATTCTTTTGATGATCATATGGTCTTGTCCTCATTGTCACGGACGACAGAAACTAGATTTTCAATTTAACATAGATCTTATCCACAGTAGTACATTACAAAGTTTTTGTTTTTAACTTCATCCCAAAAAAAAGTTTGAAAATATTCTCCCCGGGGATGTTGATAAAAAATAAAGACATAATTAACGAACAAATAAAACAAAATACTAGTTAAGATCCTCGGTGATGCTATCAAGGTGAGGCCGCCACGTGGACACTGATGCCGACCGGCTATGTCTCCGACGGTGACGGTTCTCTTTACCGGCCGAACATTTCTTCTCTGACGACGACAACATAACATCTTCCAAATATTTCTCACACAACGTCAAATCAAGATCCTTGTTGTTAGTGTTACTTACCACACAATCACTATTTGTATCATTTGCGTTTTCAAGTGGCTTTTTCCGACGTCGGAGATCCTTGTTCTTCTTTGTCTTCTTCTTCTCCGGTGAGGAAGTATCCGGTATAAGAAAATAGATGCTTCCACGCTTAAGCTCAGATTCAGGAGACAAGACCAAGATCTTACGAACAACTCCTTGAGAACATGGTTTGCTTAAGACATGGTTAGGGTTCGCCTGAAGGATCTCGCCGGCGGTCATCGGACGAGTGATTTCGTCGACGTGGCCGTTGAGATGTACGATTCGGATCAAATCTAAAGCTCCACATGGAAGTACACAAGCCAAACAGCACCGTAAACTGTTTCCCATATTCTTCTTAGTTTGCAAACAAATCTTTAAAGTTATTCGTTAAGAAAAACAAAAGGTTTTCAAGCTTTATTTTAGGTTTGTTCTTTGTTGTTGTGTGTGATCTTTTTGTGTGGGGAAGATGAGGTTATATATAGAGTGATCAGAAGAAAGAGCTTGACCAACGTATACGGATGTTTTATTTACCGAAATGCCCTACCTTCTCATTGTGATTAACTTAAGCAGCCCTCAATTAGTGTTCATTTTTATATCTTTTATTCAACTCAACCTATTAATCCTATCCTTTTCTTTGTTCTGTGGTCTTAGTTTAGCTGTCTAATCTTTTGATTACAAAAAGCTATAACAAATCTATCATTTTATAAATGACTAAAACTACTAATTATATGACTATTTCCGAACCTAATTAGAAAGAAGAAATAACAATTAATTTCAAATTATCCTATTTGTCTACACCAAACTACTTGGTACCACTAAAATATATGCTTTATCCAATAATGAATTCGTTACAAATAATTGCGAACCTCATATTATTGCATCTTTAGACTATTAGAAGTTATAATGAGTTCATATAATTTATTTTAAGAAAAGACGGTTTGATTTAACTATTTTATACATGAAATACAGTTAGTCGACTATATATGAATTTATTAGAAAAAGAGAAACAGAAAGCAAAAATATGTATAAGATGTATTTAAGCTGAACGCTAACTCGTACTAAAATATCAGATAAAACTGTGAGTATTAGATACAAGTCTACGTGACATTTTACATATGCATAAAATTGATTAGTTATTTCTTTACTAACACAATATCGATTGGTTTTTTCCTTGTTAGAATAGTATTTGCAGAACATTTAGAGTGTCAGTACAGTAATTTAATTGTTTTAATTGCTAGTATATATTATAAATTTGGATTTATTTCGGTTTACTCTATAATAGAATTATTCTATTATATAATAGAATGAAATATAAAAGAATAATTTTTCACTCTAAAAATAAAATAAAAATATAACAATCATATATATTTTAATTTATTATAAAGTAACGCTATTGTACGTAAACTATTAGAGAAAATCAATATTTATAATACAACTACTCTATTTTAGAGTGAAATATAAAACAATACTGAAAGTAATCTTAAAATAGTATTATATTTTCGGCATTCATTAGATTTTTGTTTAGATTTTTGTTTTTGAGATTCTTTATTTTCCGCCTCTTTTGCATAATTTATTTTATTCAAATATTAATCAAATTGAGATGACAAAAAGAAATATTTGGTTAAAATATTTAAGATTCTAAATAGTTGGACAAACTAACTAATACCTAACTTTTTTTTTATCATTTTAACTAATACATAACTAATGCGCTCTTTTGTCAACTAAAATGACTAGACATAGTTGTGATGTACTCTCTTTATTTTAAGTGATTGACTTTTATATTTTTATATAATACATCTTAGGTTAAAATCAAATATAACTTAAAATGTGAAAATATAGATGGTGGAACATTTATTAGAAAAATAAAATATTAATTTAATAAAAGACCAAAATACAAATACACCTGAACAAAATATATAAAACTATCTTTTAGAAATAGAAAGAATTTTAAGTATGCATGTTGTATGTAGATGTGTAAATAGATAAACATATATGCATGTTTATGGGGTACACGAAAAATAAAATATTAAGTTAATTAACGTTTTTTGAGAAATATTTATTAAATATTCCTATTAACGTTTAGATTAGATTTCTTTGGGTCTTAGTATATAACCTTACATTTCCATATTTTTAACCACCCTACATTTCCGATTCTAAAATCTAAAGATCTGCAAAGAGATAAATTAATATTTTAAGGAATTAATTTAGATTGCCTTCTACATATTTTCTAAAAAAGGATTATAATTTTCGTAATATAATCATTTGTAATGATAAAAGGATTTGAACATTCATGTCGTAATTCATCAAAAATTCTCGACAGACAATGGACAAGCCCAGCTAGCAGTGTGCGTTGAGGCGAGGGAACTGACATACGGCGATATTTACGATCAATTCTTGAAAAATACTATTTTCCAAATTTAGTTTTTATCTAAGTGGAATATAGTTAAGATTCTGCTTCCTTCATTGGTCAATTAAACTACTATTAAATTAACAATTTTAAAATGATAATGCAGAGTAACAATTTTAAAAACAATTTTAAAATGATCACGGAGAGTAACAATATCAAAGCATATTGAAATATAGAAGACTAAAACAACGTCGAGTATGGAAAAATGGGAAGAAGAGCAGTCCAAAACAAAATGATAATGCAGAGTAACAACTAACAATTGTAGAGCCTATTGATATATAGAGGACTAAAACGATTGTACACTTGCGCTGATATTCCTTTTAGTATCATGAATATTCCATAACCTAAACGCAGCTAACATATAGTTTGTGCGTATAGTTTCAACAAAAAGAAATTCTAATAGCTCTGTAAATGAAACATTAATTAAATATGTGGATAGTAGTAATTTGGTGCTTGGTTATATAGTGTGGTCTTTTGCATTATTTGCTGTAAAGTATTTTTTTGGCCAAACTTTTTGCTGTAAAGTATTGTATATGATACTTGTCTACCAATTTTCATTTATTTACTTTTTCTTAATCTGAATTTTAAATGATGTACGTTATTTGTAATTGTATTGAGTTAACACTAACAGTTATGCAGCTGTGGATTAATTTCTATAGAATATGGTGAAAAGACCGTTGTTCAAAGAAATAAAAAACGAAGAGAAGGTTTGAGGATCTGTTAGACGATGAGATTTAGATAAGAAATGATTTTTAACTTTTTTTATATTTTAACTAAGAAAACTAAGAATCATCTATTAGATAAGAAATATAAGAATATCATTATCGGGGTCGCTAACCCCAGTTACTTAGCCTAATTGTCATTAAAAAGAAAAAAAAATAGAAAAGGAAGAAGACACATTGCTTAAACTAGGTCCACAAGAGGCGTTGCTTGGAGACAGGTGTTGAATCCTCACGAAGTCCTCTCTCTCTCGAAGCCTCACGAAGTCCTCTCTCTCTCGAATCCTCACGAAGTTCTCTCTCTCACTCGAATCCTTTCATCGGTGGATTGTATCTTTTCTGACTCGTCTCCCTCGGTTGATCTCGTCGGTTGATCTATGGTCTTGGCGACGGATCACTCTCGGTGGTTCGCGGTAGCTCTCTCTGTCAATGAAAGGTAAAGCTTCTAGTTTCATGTTCTTCAAGTTTTTTCAAAGTTTATTTGTTTGTTGTGTTCGATCATGTGTCATGAATGAATCTGTATCTTGTTTGTTTAGATGGATGGATCAGAATTGATTTTTCACCGCATCGATTGTTACATATTTTATTGTTTGTTGTGTTGGTTTGTGTCGACAACAAGATTGCGAAGCTTATGGTGGAGCTGTCACGGAGTCAGGATTATGAAATTGGTGATGGCACAACGGGTGTTGTTGTCATGGCTGGTGCGCTTCTGGAGCAAGCTGAGTGTCAATTAGATAGAGGGATTCATCCTATTCGTATCGCTGAAGGGTACGAGATGGCTTATAGAGTGGCTGTTGGGAATTTAGAGCGTATATCTCAGAAGTTTGAGTTTGATGTTAATAATTATGAGCCTTTGGTTCAGACATGCATGAGTACTCTATCCTCGAAGATGTAAGATCCCACCCTTCTTACATGCTTCATATGGTTATTCTTAAATATTTTAGTAACGTTTTGTTTTGTTTTGCTCGTTGATACAGTGTGAATCGATGCAACCGGAGTTTAGCTGAGATTGCTGTGAAAGCAGTTCTTACTGTTGCTGATTTGGAGAGGAGGGATGTTAACTTGAATCTGATCGAAGTAGAGGGAAAAATCGGGGGAACTTGGAGGACACTGAGCTTATATATGGAATATTGGTTGGCAAAGATATGAGCCATCCACAAATGCCAAAGCAGATTGAAGATGCCCACATTGCCATTTTGACTTGCCCATTTGAGCTATCGAAGCCGAAGACTAAGCATAAAGTTGATATTGACACAGTAGAGAAGTTTGAGACATTGCGCAAGCAAGAGGAGCAATATTTCGATGAGATGGTTCAGAAGTGCAAGGTAGGTTTATTAAATTTTGTTTTCTTCTATTGTGATTTTGGGTATTGATTATTGAGTGAGCTATTGCAGCATGCTTTCTTTTTGACAATGAAGATTAGCTACCACAATGCAGTTTATATCATCAAATTTATGTGTGCTCCTTGTGCTTTGAAACTGCAGGATGTTGGTGCTACACTGGTTATTTGCCAATGGGGATTCGATGATGAGGCAAATTATCTGTTGATGCACAAGAATTTGCCTGCTGTCAGATGGGTCGGGATGTTGAGTTAGAGAAACTTGCAATGGAGGAGGAAAATTATCAAGTTGCTTAGCTAAGTTGCTTACCAAAAACACTCCTTAAATATTATTATTATATAATTAAGCAACCTATAATGATGCTCTAGGATAATGATGCTCTAAGAACATGATTAACTCATGTGTTTTAGCTAGGGTTCTTAATTCATGATTTGACTTTTTTTTTTACAATTTTCGAGTAAAAGATAATTTTTATATATCTAATTTAATAGACGGTTCTAAGCTTTTCTTAGTTAAAATCTAAGAAAAACTAAGAACCGTCTCTTAGCCGAAGTTAAGAATCTTAGTTAAGAGATTATGATTAATCATATGATTTAAGAACCATCCCTTATTCAAAAATGATTAATCATATGATTTAAGAACCATCCCTTATCCAAAAAATGTAAAAAAAGTATCAAACATGAATTAAGAATTTCGGTTAAGAGATCGAGGTTAATCATGCTCTTACTTCCTCTAGTTATGATCTCAAAAGAAATCTTTTTAAAACGGCTCCAAATGAAACTTATATATAATTAAATAGCGTCAATAGAAAATGAAATACAATGCTCTAAAATCAGGAGAAATAACTATTATTATATATATATTTTTCCAACAACTGATAGAGATGGCTATGAGATTCTTTATCATAGGTAGAGTAGATTTGGAGTATTTACGTGATGTTGTCAAATACTGCATTGTAAATTACTTTGACATTTATAAGAAGAAAAGTTATAATTATTTAGTAGCTAGAACGATAAAATATTACATAAGCATCACTGAAGTCGAATTATTGAAAAATCTATGGAAAACAGTGTTTTGTCCTCATTTCTGATATAAATGGGAGATAAATGTGTTTTTAAAAATTTATTGGTTAAAAATTGTTTAAATAGTTAATTACAAAAAACAATGCATTAATAATCGTAGTTTTATATGTTTTTCAGTATGTATGAAAATTCTAAACTTGTATTTTTTTTATATAGAAGGAGTAATCTAGAAAGCTTTTGTTATTACATTTCTCATCTTGATAAGACAAAATTTATAGGATTTCAACCACACCATTTCTAATAGTAGTACGATATAGGCTTCGAATGGTAAAATCAGATCAAGTGATGCAGATCAAGCGGTTCATGCAGATCAAGTAGGACAAGTGCAGGTCAAGTAGGACAAATAGGACAAGTGCAGATCAAGCGGATCATGCAGGAGAGATGCAGATCAAACAGTTTATCATAAATTATGAATGACAAAATCAGTTCAAAACTAAAGATCATATATTAAAAAAATAAAATTATACCAAATATCAAAATAAATATTTTAAATGTTGTAGGATCAGCCAAAATGTTTATTAAATTTTTCATAAGATGCTTGTACGTCTTCTATTTGCGTTTTCGTTGATCAAAATTATTTTTGAAGAACAGACATCTTAATATTTAATTCTTTATTGATATTTATATGTAGAATTAGAGATCAAACATATTAAATAATTTATTATAAATTATAAATGACAAAATATGTTCAAAACTATATATCATATATTAAAATAAGAAAAGTTACACCAAATATCAAAACAAATATTTCAGATGTTGTAGGTTCAGTCGAAATGTTTGTAAAAATTTTATTAGATGTTTGTACTTCTTCTATTTATTAATTATTTTAAAATATAAAAAATATTAATTTTTTTTTTTGACATTTATGTAGAAAAAATTATATTTTTTCGTGGAAAATATTGTATTTTTTTCGCGATTATACATCATGCTTATAATTTTAAAATGACACAAATAATATTAATGTGAACTATATAGTTTGAGTTAATAATTGTATATTATTTATAATAAATATATTTTAAAGTTATGTGTTTGTAATTTGTAATAAAACTATTTATTAGTCAAAGGAAAAAAAAAACAGATCAACACCACCAAATGTTAGCGGATGAGATTTGCATGCAGATCTCCTGCTTTTTCTACTAAAAGACAAAAAAAATGAACTGCATGCAGATCTCCTGTTTGAACTGCTTTTACAAACAAAAAATGGTGAATGGTAAACATATTGCAGGAGAACTGCTTATTGCAGGAGAACTGCATTATCTGCCCTTCTCATGCTCCTCCCATTCATAACCATATTCGATGTTAATTATGACGCTGTTACTATGAGCAGGATACAAAGGTGCATCATGCATGTACCAAAATGTACGTGTAGGAATCTAGCTAGTACTCATGATTCTCCCATTTTCAGGGTTATATTTATTAGTTATGATTCTCGAGGCGTTAACTTCCACTTGATGATAAATTGTACATTTAATGCTGCTTAAGGTTTTGGAAAACCCGTTCACCAAATGATTAATGCCCCAATAAAAATGGACCGAGGACGTATGAGAGGAAGCTTCGTAGCACGGAGGTTTCGGGCACCGACTACGTACGAACGGCGCTGAGATTGATTAATTACGAAAGTAATCTTTTCTTATTAGTATATTTCTAGTATAACTGAATAAACCTCGTGCGTGCCACAAGATTTCTTTTTGGGTGTTTCTTATGATTAAAGCTTAATTAAATATGAATCGAAAAATGGTCAATTAATTCAAGAACGTGAGCGAAGTCTGTCTTTTGCCTCAATTGGACAACAGTACTACTTTTTTGAAAAAGACAACAGTACTTCCAACCACGATTATAGACTGCATAATCAACTATGTAGTTAAAGAAGGTCAGTGAAAATAGGGTTAAACGGGGTTAAACGGTGTTAAGATCATTCAAGACCGAATAAACGTGAATCATAACAATATTCCACGTAGGAACCAGTCGGTAGTAAATATATAATATACTGCATGGTTTAGACCAGTTCTGCCGTATGTTGGGGCAACTACTTATTAGATTAATCATAACAAGAAAACCGATTACTCTTATATGGTTGCCTATCATATCTCTATAATTTAATGATCAGAATGCTAGAAAATATCAGAAAAATAAAACGTATGTATAGTATAGCTGTCATTTTTGTCAAACGGTTCAATGAATCCAAGTTTATTCTCCAGCTCTAGTTACAAACTTCCATTTTATATTTTGTTATGGCTTGCGAAATTTTTAAAGATCATGAGCTTGTATGGTAAACAATCTAAAGCTATGTATACATGTGGAGTTTGACGCGTTAATTGCTGGAAATTTTATTTCTAGGAAAATATAATGAAAATGTTATCCCAAGCATAAAACAAGTTATTAGGGTATGCATGGCCATTTTAGTTTTTGGAAATGTTTTCCTAGAAAATAATAGTGAAACATAAAAAGTTAAACAAATTGTAAGTTGTATCAAGAGAAATGTTTCATTAGTTCGATCTTTAACTTAGCATGGTAATTTAATTGATAATGAATTGTACGAAAAAGAGAAAACACCAAAAGCAGATCTGAACTTGAATTACCTTGAGTTCTACTATTAAAATAAGAATTGTAGATTCTGGAAAGATTAAGTTACAGATTACTAGATTTCGTAGTTACAAACAAAATACTAGACGTGATTATAGTGTTTAAGGGGGAAGAACCTGATGGTGTAACGACAAAATAACAGGATAACATAAAGACTTTTTGTTTATAGGTTGGAGATATCTACAGACGATATTCGATAACACACGTTGCTTTAGATTTACCCTCGTGTATAAGATCCTTTTTGAACAGTCACAAATAATCTTAAATGATACAACAGTACACGCTGTTTCTATCTTCAAGCTAGTAAAGTTTCAATGTCATGAGAATCCAAATTACATTTTTAAAAGATTTGAGAAGATGACATATAACAGTAAGCGTATATATTCACTTAAAATTAAGTTAACTGTTTAAAGGATATTTTAGCAATGCTGCCTAAACATAATTTATATTAACAAATTTGTATAATCTTTCAAATAAACTACTCTATTAAAATAGAGTCATTCTTTTTATCTACTGATATAAGTTGTCATTTAAATTTGAACTCTTTCTAGAGTGTTACAAATAATACTAGTCATATAGTTGATTGAACTGCATTACTTAAACTAAACCGACGGTTATTTATGGAATAGAGTTTTGGGCTTACTTTTATTTTTATGACAAATTATATAGTTTGGTTTTTGGGCTTAGTATTAAAGAGAAACTCCAAAAAAAACATGGGTAGATGATCTATTTACCCACGAGAACTATCATATAGCATCAGATCCCCACCGAACTATGACCTCATGCTAGACTCCCACAAATTGAAAATTGCAAACTTATTTCTCCCCGAATCAATACTTCAAAACCTAATTACCCACAAACAATGGTTTTAATTGGTTTTAGTTGGTTTATTATTAACCAAACATCTTAAAATCAAGTAAACCAAATCAAAATCCAATTAAATCCCCACCTGAATTACCGTAG